CGTGTCCTGTGTGTGCTCTACCTAATCATTCTTTTACTGATTTCAGAAACAATCTTGCGAGTTAGGGCACTGTGTTAACTTAAATATAGTCTCTTGTTTCAAGTTCATGACAAACTGGGTCTAGCTAGCCCATACTAGCAGATCGTGGGAACAGGTAATCTTTTATTTTATTTTATTAATTTTAATGAACACTTAACAGAGATTTTGGATTTCTATTCATTAATTGTATTTTTCTCCCTGCCCACCCCACCCCAGTTTACACTTCTCTTTGAAAAGTAAAGGAAAAATTCCTCATTGGTATACAATCCCCGCAACCCCACCCAGGCCCATGTACACTCCACTATGCAACCTTCATTCTGGTCTCTAGTTATAACCATAATACCCAATCATATATTGCTTTTAGACTGTTCTCTCCCTCATCTGTTTCAATGCAGTATACATAATTTATCCAGTTTTTCTTGTCTCACCCCCACCCTGATATCCATCCTGTTCTACAACAGTGGCACTAATCTTTAAACATTGGGCTGGCCTTAGGAAACTTGTATACAACATCTACTGTACCAGTGGGTACAGTAATAATTTTAATATAATTGTCTGGGTTTTGATAGCATACTTTACTTATGTGAGATGGAGCCATTGGAGGGAAGTGAAAGGTTCATAGAACCTCCCTATTATTTTGGCAACAGCCTTAGAATGAATATTCACCTCAGAAGAAAAATTTTTTAAAAGTCTATGGAGAAAAGATTACCCACTCTGTTGATAAGATCTATCGATAATGACTGAAAACTGTTGCCATACCTTCATCACACTGAATTGTTTCCATTGATAACTGTTTCACACTATTCGGGGGGGGGGGAACACTTCAAAATACAAAAGAATAAACATCTATAGGACATGAGATTTCTTTTTATGTTGCTCTTACATTACTATGTCACCTTTAACACTTTTTATACATTTAAAATAATAACTGGCTAATGTTATTCAGTGGCAATAAATGCGTGTTTGGTTTCCATGAACAAAATGAGTTTACCAACACAAACTCCCCTGTAGTATCTAGTTAGTTTTCATCTCAAAATTTCCACCTCTGTAGAGCACTGTCTCTGAAGCCACGCCTACCCAAATTTGTATCCTGAATCCACTACTTTACTAGTTAGTGAATTTAGGGTAATTATTTCATCTCTATACCTCAATTTCCATATGCATAAAATGAGAAAAATAGGATGGAATGCTTATGAAGAGTCAAGGACCTAATAGTTGCAAAGTGCTTAAAATGCCTGTTATGTAGAAAACACTAAAAGTTGGTTAAAATCAGCTTCATAAGTAACATAACATTCTTGGGTTTATTCAGTTACAAATAAAAAGATAGAAGAGAGTAAGATGCAGACATGGGGTAACACTGTAAGTAGAAGGTAAGGAGCTCTGGAATTTAAAGGTATAACCAGTATGTTTCAAGCCTAAAATCCCTGACCTTTCCTTCTGCTTTTTCTCCCATTAGCAGAGATTTTTAAAGCAATAGAACTTAAGGGACATAAAAACATCACTGGTAACCCATATGCTTCTGTCTCTGTGACCATAAGAAGCAGGGGAACACTTTTGGACACAGCAGGAGGTTTCTTTCATAACAATTCTAACCGCTCACAGTGCTAACAAGGGCTTCATGTCCATTTCTACTAAAGCTCACTTTAAAGTAATGTCTAAATTAAGAAGGCTAAGAAATTGGGATGTAATTTACTACTGATTCATCTCACAGGTTAGCAAACTGATCAGTGGAAGAAATAATAGGTCACCAGGATCCAGCAAACTGTCAGAAGTACATGTTGATACAAACTCCCTTTACTTCCTTATGACTACTTTGTTTTTCCAGCTCTCACAGGTTTTCCTGTTTTGTCAAGGTGCAGCCTTAACACTTTTCTATCACTCATTTTATTATAAAATATTTGAATTTCCCTTCTCTGGTAAGTTTCTGCCTTGCATTAGTTGTGGTCTTTATAGGTTTTATTGTATTTACATGCATTCATTCATTCATTCATTCATTCAAGTATTCTTGTCATTTGTTATGCTAGAAATTGTGTTCACTTTGAGGAATAAAATCTGTATTAGACAAAATCATGGGGTGTTAGCCTAAAGTTGGCTTTTTTAGCCATTACCTTAACTCCCTCTGGTCTCCAGCTACCTTAACTGCAGATACAGCTATGGGATTAGGATAAAAGAAAGACTGGTACCCACACTGGGCAGCAAGACTTGAGGCAAGCAAGGCTCATGAGGAGCAAGATTTGTGGGCAGCAAAACTTGTAGAATATTGGCCAAAACCTTCATGAGAGTGAGGCCCTGGTTGAGAGACCCTGGTGATGGTGGTTGGAGAGACTGTGACATGGTTGTGGGGAAACTGTGGTAAGGTATGACCTGAGACTCCTTGCATTTGTGCTGGCCACAAGTAAAGATTTTTCTCTTCTTGCTGTATGTTTAAAGGAGAATCTGACTTATACCTGCTTTGTGACAAACCCTGTTGGATGATTTGGATTTAACTGCTGAACTGAAATCAGAGCCTTGACTAATTGAGAAACTGTGCCTTGGAACTTGGACTAAAACTTGGACTTGTTTTAGGTGATCTTTCTCTCCTCCACTCTCCAACTTACTTCCCTCATAACCCCATTCTCAGTACCACAATTGTGAGTCTGTCAACAATGAACAGACAAACCTCTTGCTACTGGTATGACTCTGAAGGCACCAAGGGCCTGGGCTGTGGGCTCTTTACCTGTTTTCTGCTCCAGGACAGTGAGAAGCTGAGTTATTCTCACTTCTTCCAGCTCTTTCAGGAAGATGCTCATGATCTTGTGCACCTATGTCTCATTTTCAGCTTATCAGACAAGTTCTTAGACCACTGGTTCACACTGTTTTTTTGGCCAAAGTACAGTTTTCATCAGTGTTCTATTTATTTATCAAGTATCATTTGAACGGAAATATATACACTTAATTTTAACTTGTATCATTTTATATAGCAGTTAAAAGAGTTCTAATTTTTACAAATAAAGAAAAATTAGAAAAAAGAAAATCTGGTAAATAGAGGGAAGAAGGGGGAGACTTTGAATTTAATAACTCTTCATTTCTAAGTTAGGATGGCCCATTCTGTACTAGCTCAAGTTTCTCCATTTTTAGGCTGAAGAACTGTGCTTGAACAAGTTGTTCAGTATGGCTCTTCTAGTTACTAGCTTTGACATTTCAGACTATACAAATGGGAGTGTTGGTAGCCCACTAAGTAGACTGGATCACTTGCTAATAACATAAATAAGTCAAACAGCATTTTGTGGATGAGAACATGCAATAAGGTATGGAAACTTCTAATAAGGGGACTGTCAGTTTTGCCCTATTTCCAGGCATAAATTGAGTATGTTCAGAGGCAGAAAACAAAAATCTCACTATCATCAAGAAAGAACAAGCTGAGAGTATAGCACGTCCTATGGGCCAGAAAGTCTTATGCTAGACAGAGTAAGACTGACATTGAGATGTGGCAATAACACAAGAAATAGCACAGCATTAGCAAAGGTAGTGCAGAACTGAAGAGTCAGAGATTAGTGTGAGACAGACCTGAACTAAATCTATCACCTCACAGAGCCAAAGCCAAGCACCATGACCTAGGCCAATTCTAAGAAAATGGGGGTAGATATGCTGCACATAATTCACTTAATTAGGAAAACTAAAAGAGCTTTACAATCCTTGTTCAACTATGTGCATATCCCAGAGCAGAGAACTCAATGGACAGAGAGGTCTGCCTGTATACACATCTGGAATGCTGCCTTATTGAAGAAGTAATTGTATCTAGAGTCTTTCAGACTGGAATTGTAACCTGTTGTTTTTCAGTGCTAATGAGTCAAGTTTTACTCACAGTAACCAAATGAAAAACAAACCTGAACTCTCCCCCATCCTGTGCCATCCTCTTCGTCTCTAACACACTTAAGCCCACTGTTCCCCTAATAAATCCGAACTATAAAAACTGGCTGTGAAGTCTACATGGTCACTGCGACATTAGAAACAAGAAGAATGGGAGGGATAGTTGATGCCTGAATTGAAAGGAGGAGGTTCAGAGTCTAGGGAGCATGCCCATTCCTGACACGATAAAAATTTGCTTTCTATTTTTTATATTGTTGGTGGGAACTCTTTCCCTATATTAAATTAATATACATCAAGAACCCAAAAGTTCCCATGCCAGAATAACCGCTCTTACAGCAATTGTGTAAAAGAAGAGGAAACAAGAATAGACCTATTAAAGAGATGCAGTCATGTACTTATGAAACACAGAAAGAAAATTATGGATTCCCCCCTTTGAAGGTAAAAGAAGAAAAATATAAATTGTCCTACATGTCAAAATAAGAATATAATGGCTAGTTTCTTATTGAAAATGCTGTCCAGGTTCATTATCTCACACTTTCAACAAAAATACTTACAGTACAATCAGTAGCTTGAAGGTTCTTCAGTGCTACTTCTAACTGTGTTATCAAAAAATTTAAAGTCAAAGGAGGAACAGTTTCCTCTCCATCTGGGCTGTTACCAGCAATTTCTCTCTGTGGAAAACAATTTAGTTGAAAAGTTATGTAAGAAAAACATATCTAGATATATTTTTATTACATCAATAATAGATTTACTATAGAATATCTGCAAGATAAAAGCAATTTTAAAAATAAAATTCACAACTCCCAAACAAAAAATTCTTGAATTTGTTTCTTGATTAGTCTGGTGGGTTTTCTTTGTAACTATTTCAGAAAAACCATATCCATGCTCCCTAAGAGGTTATCATCATACACTCTATCATCTACCTTTTAGAGGAAAGTGATGATCTCACATCATTCTCTCATACCTTCTAGTCACCAGCACAACTAACATCTAGTGCTGAATATGAAGCAAAAAGGATAGCAATAATGTCAACATTATATTGTGCCATCTTTGGTCTCAATGTGGTGTTTGCTGTTGTTAGTTATGGTTGAGTCAACTATAACTTACAGTGATCCTGTGAACAAAAGATCTGAACCTCACCCCATCCTGCAACCATCCTCTTATCTGTCATAGACCATTGGTCTCTAGACCATTGTGGAAGTCACTGTACCAACCCATTTCATTGAGAATCTTCCTCTTTAACTGACCCTCTACACTCCCAGCCTGATACTCCTTGAAAGGAGCGGCCCCTCTTGAAAACATGGCCCAAGTATGGGGAACAAACTTTCACCATTCTTGCCTTTAGGAGCACCCTGGTTGCACTTTTTCCAAAATAGCTGTTCTTTGGCTATAATCCATGGTATATTCCATATTCTTCTCCAACACCACAATTCAAAGGCAGCAAATCTTCTCTGGTCTTCCATATTCACTATACAACTTTCAGATGCATAGGGAGCAACTGAAAATACTACGGCTCGGGTCAGTGGTTGCGGCTTAGTCATTAAAGTGACATCCCTATTCCTTAGCACTTTAAAGAGGTCCTAAATTTTCCCAACACAAAATATCTTTTATTGACTGCTACTATCATGGGCATTGATTGTGGATCCAACTAAAATGAAATCATTGACAACTTCAGTCTTTGCTTCATCTATAAAGATGTTATATATTTACCTAGTGGTGAAAAATTTTGTTTTCTTGATGCTGAGATGTATCTTATAGTGAAGACTGCAGTCTTTGATCTTCTTCAGTAAGTACTTCAAGTTTTCTTCACCTTCAGCAATCAAGGTTGTTTAATTTACATAATGTAGGTTGTTAATAAGTCTTCTTCCAATCCTAAAGCCACACTCTTCTTCATAAAGTCCAGTTTCTCAAATTATTGCCTCAGCATACAAATTGAACAGGTATGGTGTAAAGGATAGAGCTCTTATGCATATCTTTCCTGACATGAAACTATGCAATGTTATCTTGTTCTATTTGTTCTCTTGTTCTATTCAACTGCTTATTGATCTATTTATAGATTTTATATGGGTACTTTTAAGTGTTCTTATATTCCATTATTCCTAATGTCATCCATAATTCATTATGATCCATACAGTCAAATGCAAGGTGATTGTTATTCTTGTTGTTGTATACTGTACATCTGGAACCAACCCATAGCTGAACCCTCCAGCAAGTTTTCAGCAGCAGTTAATCGCACAGGAGGAGATTGTTCGTCCTTCTCCAGCAGAACAGCTAACATCTTCAGATTGCACACCTTCGGGATTATAGTGCAGCTTCTTGCCACTAGGCCACCAGAGCTCCTTAATGTGATTAGACTAAACTAAGTGTTTCATTGATTATGCAAAGGCATTTGACTGTGTGGATCATAACAAACTGTGGCTGACTCTGAGAAGAATGGGAATCCCAGAACATTTAATT